TTAAAACTATGAACTTGTGGTGAAGTCTGTTATTAGTTTTTCCTTCAGTTATGGCCCTTTCTTCTTCTTCTTCCTTGTGCTATTCTCCATTAACATCAAAGGTACATTTTCCCTCATGCCAAGACTATGTTTTGAATGTTCTGTTTTCAATTCCCTGAGGTCTTTTGGATTTGGGTTCTTTCTTTTTCTTTAGGAATGGTTTTGGATGAATCTCTCTGGTTTATTTGAATCAGCTCTGCTTTTAAATTTGATTCATTGTAATAACAGTGTTCTTTTCCAGTATGCCATAAAGTATCTGATGTAACTAGAGTTAAAAAAACTATGAACAATATCAATCTTGTAAAAAGGATTTGAGTCATATGATAATTCTGTATGTGACTCTTTCTACAAATACATAATTATTTTACATACAAGTAAGGTTCTGTTTCTTGTAGATTGGTCATTTTGGTGCTGTAAGAAGTGGTGCTGAGTTCTGTAGAAGAAGGGTCAAGTTGGGAGGAGACTGGAGTTTCAGAGGAGGATCCAAAGTCATTTTGAAGCCAAAAGTTGTGACATCTAAACTTTGTCAAAAACATAGCGGAGTTTATGCTTCATGTAATCCTTTTCATACTTATCATCTACTTCTGATATATTATCTTTCATTCTTGATATAAGAGCTACTTAATTAATCTAGGTAGATTAGGAAGTTAGATAACAAACACGACATGATCTTCCTAAAATACCTCTGTGTAAAGTTAGATTATATATCAGTTTATAAATTAGATAAATTAGTTTGAGAAAAAATGAAAGTACAAGTTTATAACTAATGTTGAAATGTTGCAGGGTTGTCAAGCTCTGAACTTGCCAGCAATGTGTTTACAATGGGAACAACAGCAGTTCTTCCATATTACACACTCATGCTCTTAGCTCCCAAATCAGAGATAGTATGTTTCTTACCGTATTTCAGATTAAGCTATAAGAGAAAGATAGTGACTTTAGCTAGCTAGCTTATTGATAAGTGGAAGATAAGATCACATGGAGGCTTCATTGAAATAACTGGTGTGGCTCTCGTGCTTTTACAATTCATGGATAGTGCGATTTATTTCACTTTTTTATATTATGGTAGAGTCCAAACAGAGACAGAAAAGAAACAACACTGTCTCTGGCTTACTCTTCCTCCCAAGAAATGAAGTTAGAACCATAGGAACACAAGAAAACACACTCAAACTGAAACTAAAAATGATGAAGAAAGATGATCTTCCTCCACCCCCAGCTTGCAAAATAAGTCTCTCTCCTTCCCAGGATACACCAGTAGCTAATATAAGCCCCAAAAAGTGATTCACACAATTTTTTTTTTTGAAATCAAAGGGGCAAGTACTCACAGCTAGAAGTTACAAGTGGGATCAACCCCGACCTCCTATTACAGGAGAGTGTCAACCTTACTAGGCTAGAAAGCCTTTGGCTATTCACACAGTCTTCAATACATTCCTTTTTAGGTCAGACTCACATCAAGCCTAAAGCCTAAGGTACTCCAATGCTCGTTATCTTTCTCTGAGACAGAAGGAAACTTGCAGAGCAGAAAGTGATTTTCCTATTTGATGTATCTTGCTAATTTTCATTTTATAGGTCTAGCTAGCCAAAGCAATTCTATCATATTATATGAAGATATAGATATATATTAAGGGTATGGATGTTTAGTTGCTGCATGTGATTCATAAGTGCAGACCAAAAAGTCAATGGAAAGTGGAATACCGTTTGTGTTGCTTGGCCTTGTGTATGCATATTTGCTGTGCCTTTCTTGGACTCCTGAAACGATTCAACTCCTTTTTGCAAGCAAATACTTCTTACCGGAGGTCAGTCTTCATCAATCAATTTCAGTTTTTCCTTTTTCTTTTTAACTAGTTCTTCAGAGTCCTTATATCTCAAAAAAAATAGTGTTCCGTTTTTCTCAACAGCTGAGCAGTATAACAAAAATGTTCTCCAGTGAGATGACTTTAGCCTCTGCTTGGATTCACTTACTGGTTATAGACCTTTTTGCAGCCAGGTCCTTTCTTTCTTGCTATTTCCCTTTTTCCCCCTCTGATGATTCTTTCTTTCTTCATGCTCATCCTTACATTATTACATTATTACAAGTGAATGCAGGCAGGTTTTTCATGATGGACTGCAGAATCAAATTGAGACTCGCCATTCAGTTTCTCTTTGCCTCTTCTTCTGCCCTATTGGTGTTCTTTCCCATTTCATCACCAAACAAATCACCAAAAATGCCATCAAAGAAACACACAGAGAATCATAGTTGCGTACCTATTCACAAATTGTTACTCTCAGTACAGAAAAGTCTGCCTTCTGTTGCCAGAAGCTCTTCCATAACCCCATGATACAATTAGTACTTAATCACTTTGATTACAAGTTGAAAAAAGTATCGAACCCCTTCTTGTGTGGATCATGTCATTAATTAAAAGAAAATAACTGCTTTACTGGCACAATTAATACTTCCCCCCAGTTTTGGCATTGTCATGTATAACTAGAAGCCCTTTTCAAAATCTCATGCTTTAAGCTGAGTACCACTGTGAGCAGATGTGTGTGTATCCATCTACTTTGATTACTTATTCTAGCATATTTTATTAAACTAAGAAAGCCTTAAACCTCATAAACTTTACTTTAAAACTTAATAAATTTTCAATTTTATCCCTATTTAATATGTATACTTTTTGAAAAAATAACAATCTATATAATAATAAATAAAAGGAAAATAGTACATTTATATTAAAAATTTATTAATGTAACTTATAGTTATAAATAGAACAAAAAAAATATTATCTCTATATTTTATAAATAAGACCAGAGGAATGTATATATATAGCATATGCTTAATGGTTACTCAAACAGCTGTGCATTATCACGTGAGGAGACATTATTACTTCCCCTGCAGCTTGATTGCACATTATTACTGTTCCATAATCTTGTACTTATTGATACCATTAGAGTTTCAGTGAAGATAAATGCAAGTTTGTTCCCTATTCCCTAATAATTTAGTGCATCCAAATTCGAGTAAAGATAAATGCAAGCAAAGTTTCAAAACAAGTTAACTTGGATTGCGTCCTGTGTGTGTTCATATGGATCCATTTCGGATGGTTCTTTGTAAATACTACTCCCTCGTAATCTAAATATGTGATCTAAATGATTAATCCACACAGGTTAAGAAAATTAATTATATTAATTATTAGGAAATTTTACTCGATTTCAATTAAAAGATTTTTTTTTTTTTGGTGAATGCGAATCAAGAGAAATTGTTGCTGCAAAGTTTCAATCTTCAAATTAATGTCAGGTTCAAGGGACTCAGAGTGAAAGATAATTGTGAAAAGAACAATCACTTAAAAAAGTTCTCACATGTTTATTTCACGTACCATAAAATCACTTTTAAAAAGTTAATCTAAATATCTCCTTGGTAATAGACAAAGATCACAATTATGAAAAGATGCTCTTACCCTTGGTAATACACTGAACCTATTTGCCTGATGCCTGTTTGATAAGTAATGGTGCGGTGAAAATAACAAATCATGTGATGTATGATATTTGGCGATGGGGTAGTTGTGTTTTTACATAAAAAATCGCGATAAGTCATAAGCAAAAATTTGCTGCTTATAACTTTTCAACTGTGGTGAGAGAAAACATTTGTTAAAGACACATATATGATTTTCGGTTTTTAATATAAAGGCTAGATAACTACTAGTAATTTATAGATATTAAAAAATTAATCAAGTTGATTATTTGTAATAAATGAGTGTTGTCTTCGTAAAAATATATTTATTAATCATGTGTATTAAACTATTTATGAATGGGAATCCCTTAATATGTGCAATCACCATAAGGATTATTTAGGGATAAAATGAATAAATATAAGAGACAAAGATTAGATCTTATATTTAGAACCAAATTAAATCCACAACTGCCCTTATCTTGAAGATTTGAAATGGTATCATTTAATAAAATTCATATCTTTTTCATTTATTTTACAATTAAACTTGCTTGTTCAATAATAATTCAAATAATTGTTTTTTGTGTGACATAATTCAAACAATTTCTACTTTTACAAATTTGTTAATTTACAAAAACTAATTTAAATATAAATCAAATTATTTAATCTAACTTTCACCTAGCCCTAGGTTTCCAAAAGCCCAAGTGAAAATAGGGAAAATTTCAATAAATCCGTCAATAACTAATTAATTAAGATCAGTCAACCCAAAAAATTCTGGAACCCCATTGCACTTTTTGACCAAAAATTTGTGTGTGAGAAGACAAAAACATTTTTTTTATTTGAATTGCAAATTGCTGATTTCTTATTACAAGTATTCAGATTCTTATTGTAAATTATTGAATTTGAGTTGTTCATTCATTCATCCATAAAATTTACAAGGATTTACAACTCAAATTCAGATATTTACAACAAGAATTTAATTATTTGCAATATAAATTCAGTGATTTGCAATTCAAAGATATTTTTGTCTTTTCACATAAAAAATTTTGGTCAAAGAGCACTGTAAAATTTTAGAATTTTTTGAGCACTAACTGATACTACATCCAGTTTTTAATATAAGACCTTATTTGATTTTTATTTTGATCCTAATTATAAGATTTTAATTCATTTTGTCTCTCATATTTATGTATTCTTTTTCAAATAATCCCTCTAATAATGATAATTTTAACCAATAAATTTGATTATTAAGGATATTTTAAAAAAAACAATATCTATTTATTACAAATAACTAATTTAATTTTTTTTTAATCTCCTCGTATTAATCAATTAGTTATTATAATTAGAAGCGGGGAGATAGTATCGTCTCAATTGGCTATTAAGAGAGTCTTTTGAAATTCTTCCTTGGAAAGTTTGGAAACAAACGACTTTTTCTGCGCCAGTCCAAACGGCCCTCAAATTGTCCCCCTGTCTAAAAGCCTTTTCAGCACTCTCGAACCCTAACTTCAATGTCCGGTAACAGCAAATGCAATAACCGTGGCCATGGAAGCAAAGTCCCGTGAAGCAAGTAACCCTGGCCGTCCTTGTGGGAGAAGGAGAACTCGACACCGCAGTAATCTCTGGCTGACCTTGGCGACGCTCTGCTAAAGGCGAAACAGGTCGTCACTTTCTCTTCCGTCCTTGCCTGCTACTGTAGTTCCCATATATATATATGTGTGTGTGTGTGCATTTATTTCCCTTCGAACGAAGTCTTCTGCAAAAATCCATAGAAGGGAGAACTAATACAGAGAAATGTAAAAGAACTCTATTTGAAGAACAAGAACTAAATGGAAGGGAGATAGCCGAATAGTGTGTGCGCAAGAGCTTTGATTATGCCAAACAATTTATTTTTGTAGATATGGAAGATTTATTGATCGTGCTTGCGACCACTTCGAGTTCAGTTGAAAATGGTCTGCAGGTCTAAATGAGTTTTTTCCTTTGTTCTTTTTTTTTTTTTTTTATTTTTATAGGCAGCAGGTCTAAACGAGCTTGTGACCACTTTTTCTTACAACAAAGTAACGTGGGTGTCTACTGATTTCACTTGGCAAACCCCCTAGCAGACAATAGCATCATGGTTTATTGAGGGCAAGCTGAAGACTCGTGAAACTGGAGGAGGATCGCAATCAAGGGATGCTACGTGGTGTGAGTAACGTAGTTGGGCCTTCATCTAGCGACTTTAATCCAAAAACAATCTTAACTCACCCGGTAGGTAGGATAATGTTGAGCTTAGCTTGGTGTTTTATACAAGCTGACACATGATTAATTTAATTGTTATTATTTTTCAGGAAATAAAGAGAACTTATGATAGGTTTGTGTCCATGTTGGGAGAGGAACTGCTTTCCCTTCAGTCTAGGTTGTTGCATGGGAGTAAGAATGAAGAAGAGGAAGAAAATGTTGGATCAGAAAACTCAGAGAAAGAGGAAGATCAGGCTGGGTTAAAAAGGTCAGAGGAAGGGGGAAAAATGCAGAAATTGAGCAATCTGTGTGGGAGAAGTCAGAAGAAGAGGAAGAAAATGATCGAGTTGGATCAGAAAAGTCAGAAGAAGAGGAAGAAAATGATCAAGTTGGATCAGAAAAGTCAGAAGAAGAGGAAGAAGAGAGTGAATCGGAAGTAAAGGAAGTACTTACTTGGTGATCAAGTGTTGCCTTTACTACGTGGTAATTGGTGAAGCAAGAGGAAGAAATAGACCTCAACCATATATTTATTTTGTATTTTGAAACTTAACTGATAATCATTTTAATGACATCATTGTATAATCATCACTTTATAGTTCATGTGTATTAACATGACTCAGTGGTAAATGAAATATATTTTTTTTTGGGTGGTATTCATGTGTTCTGAAATGAATTTATGAAACCGTATTATATTAGCTTTTTTAGTATTAGCAATTGACAAGTGAATGGGCATGCATTGATAACTTATTGTGCAACAACCAACAAGTCAAAGCGCCACAAATGACAGCTCTATTTATGTGAAAATATTAGATCCACGTTATATGAAACTATAACCAAAATGTGTTATGCAACTGTAGTTAACTTGAAATCATGTATGGCCAGAATATGTAAACTGATATGAGATTATATGATAGATTTATGTTAGATTTTTTTTTTTTAGTCAAATGTGTGGACAGGTAAAAAGGCATGCTTTGACAGCTTGATATGCACCAATTGACAAGTCAGTCGTTTGCCAATGACAAGTCATGATACTAGTAATGGCAAGCGGTCAATTGAAATTGAGTAGTCCGTTTATATCAATGCAAATTCACATTCTATATAAACTACTGAAGGTACTTATAATCTTTGAGCCAATTATTATTCTCTCCTCAAGTAAATTGTTATTCAGAGCAGCATTGGTAATATAGGGAACCCATGAAAGGATACTATCAGTTTTGTGATCATGGTGCTTCTTTCAGCAATGACTTTCTATGATCTCTTGGTGAGTATAGTTGATTTAATTTGCTCCCCTGCATCTTGATTCTTCTGTCTCATTTTTTAAACACTTTTCATTTTGATTTTTCTGCGGAGAAGTGCCATGCACTACAGTCTACAGGGGCATCTCACATGCTTTTAGTACCATTTGTACTTTTGTAGAGAGGAGGGTTTTCTTGGCCTATATAAAGGACCTAGAGCAACATTGATGGTTTGCTTTCGTGGCTTTTTCAATAATTTGCCTTAATCTTGATTTTTTTTTTTTTTAAGCTCTTATAGCTATTACTTTTCGTGGTGCAGGGTGTTGGGCCTACCAGAGCTGCAAGTTTTTCTGTTCAGGCTCCTTCTGTCTGTCCCAAAGGTAAACTACAGATTCTGATAGGAGTTTGTATGGAACTTCTTTTAATGTGTCCGAACAAGGTTAAAGCAAATTATCATTGTTCTTGTTATTTCTGGTTCCTTCCTTTCCTTTCTCAGTCTATCTGGTATTGCATCGTCAACAGGTTGGTGAGATTGTGCACTTTCTGTTTGGCATCATGAGTTTAGGCTATTTTGTGGTTCCCATGCTTTCACGTACACATGGACAGGTAGGCTATTTTGTGCATTAGTTTAGTAGTAATTAAGATTTAATGCCCACCGTTTTAAAACTTGTGCATTTCCCTGTGTATTGAATGAAATATGACAAATAAGTTGTGCTATCTGTAATACCTCATTTCTTTCTTCTATATTTTAATGGTTTATTTCTTACTCCTGGGAAGAAGACAGGGACACAAAAAACAAATATGGGAGATTCATATTTGGACCACTTTGACATTTTTGTGGAGATGACATGGAAGTAGAGGGGGTTGTCTGCTTGAGGGACTCTGGATAAATGGGGTTGATGAGGGATGGTGAACATAGACTATTCACACCGGTGTTTGAAAAATATGCCAAATGATTTGTTCAAAAATAGTTATTTATACTCTTAAATATGAAGGGTAGAGTTTAATGAGTGGGCTGTATGTATATATATAGTCAATTATGTAAAATGGGTAGTCAATTGTTTGTATCAATCTTGTATGTGAAAGACAAAGAAGGATTAAAAATTTTGACTTTAGACGGCGATGAGGCCATTTTTATGAGTTGTTTCTTTAAAAAATATTAAAGTTTTCCCTTGGCCCAAAAAAAATTGAAGTTTTACATTTTCTAAGAATTTGTTTCAGATGTTTTAGATTTGAGATTATTTTATTTTTCATATTTCATATTTAAAAAATTTCAATTATCTTTTAATGATCAATAATGGAAAAGTAAATGTAAAAAATTTTGTGCACAGATATGTATCAGCATTGCTTTTTGAAGGTATAATTTTTTAGGTGAAAAGTACATGTTTAAACAATTTTTAAAATAAAGAATGGCATTTTAGTATATGCAAAATGTTTGCAAGTGACGAGTCAGTTTGTTATTAACTAACAAAATAACTAAAAGAAAAATGTAAGCGAAATTTTTAAAGTTACTTACGTTTAAAATGTACAAACAAAAAATTCATTAAACATACATCTACATAGCAATTAAGGCATAATAATTTTTTAAAGGTTAAACTTTCTTAAAATCTCTCAAAATTATCAAGGCATTTTACATATATAAGCATATCTCTTCAAATTGGGTTTGGATTATCTCTATCTCTACATTTGGAAAAAAAAAAAAAATCATCGCAATATCTTGGTTAATGCCATGGAAATAGATTTCTTTCTTAAGTATATTGGTTGAGCAGGATGAAACTCTATAGAAATGAAGGAGGAACCAGGAATAAAAGAGCATTGTGAAAAATATAGATTTCTAAAAAGTTAATATAATTTTTGGTCCCTTAAATTCATTTTCATTTTGACTTTAGTTTTTTAAATTTTAAACCATAGGTTTTAGTCTCTGAGGAAGCAAAATAGTTCAGATTTTTATTAAATTATAAGGACTAATATTTTAAATAAAAAGAAACTTAAAATTTTATAGTAATGCAAAGAGAGAATATCAGCTAAAATTTATCTATCAAGTTAAATTTTTAATACCATTATAACCACTAGATTAGGTAATTGATATTCTAAGAAATATTCATGCATGTGAATTTTTAACGAGGACTTGCCATTTTTTACATTGCTAATTATTGTCATAATCTTACAACTTTATAAATATTCAATAGAACCAATTCACATACTTACTCAAAATGATATGTTCTATCAAATTGAAAATATAGTAAAGAAAGCCAATCAAAGAGTATTTTAAAAATTAGAGAGAACGGAGAGCATAGAGAGTGGACAACAAGCGACGGAAGAGAGAGTGGCGATAGAGATCAAGGGGGAGGTCGTGAACATGATAAAGAAGGGGCTCATCTCTCGAGCCCTACAATCTTTGTCTTTGGTAAGTCTGATTCAAGGGAGTCTGGGGGAGACGGGAAGAGGTTGGCAACAACCGAAGATGGTGGTGAGGAGACAGCAACATTAGGAGGAGGACGGTGAGGGCAATGGTCTTATAAGGAGAAGTTACTTTCCCTAGGCTGTACCGGTTTTCTTGTAAAACATGACGAATAGGAAGATATCGTGAACGGATGGAAATCTTTTTTCACCAAGAAGAATGAAGACACTACGGTGACACAGGATAAGGAGGATGAGAATAAGAACGTGTGAGATGATGGCAATGGTAAAAGGAGGTATCCCGTACTATCCGTTTCGGTAGAGCAATACATGGCTTGGTGTCAACCATGGATGAACTCGCTCATTGTCAAAGTCTTAGGAACCCAAGTGCCTAAGAATATCTTGATAGATCGAATTAAAAGGATGTGGAAACCGAAGGAGGCTATGAAAGTGATACCTCTCAGTAATGGTTACTTTATTGTCTCATTTGCAAGTCGAGAGGATAGAGACTATGCGTTTCAGAAGGGACCCTAGATGATAGATGATCACTACCTATTGGTAACTAGCAAAGAAGATTTGCAGCATGGATTCGCATACCGAATTTGCCTATGGAATTCTACAATGTGGAATCACTTTGGATGATTGGTAATATGGTCGGTAAGACTCTTAAAGTGGACAGATCAACATGTATTTATGATAAAGGAGGTTTTGCCCGTATCTGTGTAGAAATTGACCTCCAACAACCCTTGCTACCAGCTTTCACAGCTTTTGGAGAGGATAAACAGATCAAGTACAAAGGTTGCACCAAGTGTGCTTTGAATGTGGTCTATACGGTCACGACAAACATGCATGCATCAAGTTGCAACCGGTGCAAAATACTGAGGAGGCTAATCACCGAAGGCATATTACTGTGACAAGTCGTGAGGGCAACGGTAACAAACAACCTACCCATCCTCCAAATAAAGAAAATGGAGACAGTGGGCAGTCAACGATGGTCAGAGAAGGAACGTCAATATCCGTCAAACATCTCGGTCGTCAAATGTTGGTGAAGAGAGATTTTTGCAGGGGAGTTATGCGAATAGATATGAAAGGATATGGACATAAAGAGGCGACTAAAAATCCGCATGGGATCATAAAAGGTGATGGCTCGAGATTTGGTATTGATTCGAGGGTATCTGGGAAGGATAAGGCTGAAAATATTGCGAAGGATCACGGAGTTGGAATTAGAAAGTTTGGGGCCGAGATTAATAATAATGAGTCTGGTTGGGTCAATGTGGGGACCAAGAGGAAGCAAGACGAGAAGCTCATTTGAAAAGGGAAGGAAAATATGAATGTTGCCAAATTAAAATACAAGAAGAAGGAGCTTAGCTTTAAGAGAGTTGGGCCGACTAAGGCCCAAAACTCATTTGAGGTTCTTCAGGCAAGCCTGTCAAATGAAGACAAACACGTTGAGGACCCTAAGCTAAAGAAAGTGGGCCAAAGCTAGACAATATGGATGTTAGTAACTCACAGGATCTATATATGCATCTAATGAACGATATGAGAGGTGTTGAGGAAGGTAATAGCCAAGATATGCACAAGGAAGTGGAGATATCGAATGCAAAGCTAAACCGAGAGCAACATGTGGATAACTTTAAGGTTGATGTC